GGGGGCTCTCCCGGGTTGGGGTCCCTCCCAGGCTGTCCCCGAAGGCCCCTGGAGGTGCCGACCCCCCAGTCTCCGCGGCCAGACCCGGTCCGGCCCGCCTGGCAGCGAAGCTCCCCGGGCCTTTACACCTCGAGGTGAACGGGCTTGTCATAGAATCCCAGAATCTCAAGGGTTGGAAGGGACATGGAAAGCTCACCCAGCCCAACCCCCCTGCCAGAGCAGGGTCACCCAGAGCACAGCACACAGGAACGTGGCCAGGGGGGTTGGAATGTCTCCAGAGAAGGAGACTCCACAGCCTCTCTGGGCAGCCTGGCCCAGGGCTCTGGCACTCTCACAGCAAAGAAGTTCTTCCTGAGATTCCCATGGAACCTCCTGTGCTCCAGTTTGCACCCACTGCCCCTTGTCCTGTCACAGGACATCACTGCACAAAGCCTAGCTCTGTCCTCCTGACAATCATCTTTAACATATTTGTAACCACTGATGAGGTGGCCCCTCAGTCTCCTCCAAGCCCAACAGACCCAGCTCCCTCAGCCCTTCCTCAGCAGGGAGATGTTCCCCTCCCTCCAGCACCTCTGTGGCTCTGCCCTGGGCTCTCTCAAGCAGTTCCCTGTCCTTCTGGAACTGAAGGTCCCAGAACTGGACCCTAAAACAGTGCGAGGAGCTTTAATCCCTGTCACCAACAGCATGGGCTTTCAGCCCTGGTGGGTTTCACTTTACCCTGGCAGTGCTGTGGCAGCAGCAATTAACACCTACACCTCTTGATGAGGACATTTCTGGTTGTTTTTAATGTCCTGCTTCAGTATCCAGCTCTGAAATGGAGATGTCTCGATAAGATGACCTACAAAGCTAAAATGCATTGTGCTCTTTTTGTTCCTTTGTGGTATTTAAAGATTCTGATTTGGTTTTGCCTTTTCCATAACCCTAAAATATCAGTAGTGCAGGTTAGTTTTGCTGCAGAGATTCATGATCAGGGAGCCTAAATAACTTCTGCTTACTTATCTACTGAGGGAGTAAGGTATGACATTTGTAATAAAAGGGTTTTCTAGGCTGTTACCAAGCATTTGAATTAAATGGGTATTAATGAAAGCAATTTCAAAGGTTTTGAGCAATTGGATTAAAAACCTTTTCATCTGTTTTAGTGCAGAAGAGGTTACAGACAACTGGAGAAGGCACATGGCTGTGAGTTGCAGAGGACAGAAATACTTGTACAAAGGAATTCTTCTAGCATAAAAATCCTAAGAAAAACATCACTCTTAAATAATTCCCAGTGCTTCCCCTGCCTTGTGAGTGGCTGTACTGACTCAGGGGTAAGCCTAGAGCTCAGGAAAGGCCATAAATTCTGCCCCTTCCGCTCCCAAACACTGACTATTTAGGACACAAAAACACCAAGGAGGGAGAAATAATTCTTGTGAATGTCAGGAGAGATCCTGTCAGTCTGGATGAAGTGGCCGGATTAAATTCTTCCCAGTCCTACCAGTACACTGAACTGGGTGGTGCTGTCTGTGCACACCATCCCGCTCCTCACTGTCTGAAGGGGAAAATCCATACTTAGATTGCAACCAACACTGCACAGTTCCTTCCCTTCCCTTCCCTTCCCTTCCCTTCCCTTCCCTTCCCTTCCCTTCCCTTCCCTTCCCTTCCCTTCCCTTCCCTTCCCTTCCCTTCCCTTCCCTTCCCTTCCCTTCCCTTCCCTTCCCTTCCCTTCCCTTCCCTTCCCTTCCCTTCCCTTCCCTTCCCTTCCCTTCCCTTCCCTTCCCTTCCCTTCCCTTCCCTTCCCTTCCCTTCCCTTCCCTTCCCTTTCCTTTCTTTCCCTTCCCCTTTCCTTTCCCTTCCCTTCCTTCCCCTCTCCCCCAGAACAAGTGGCACTACCTATTTGGAGTAGAACCAGGCAGGTTGGGGCCCCCCACCAGCCCCCCCAGACCCATGAGCCACAAGCAGGTGGTACCAGCAGCCCGTGGTGGCTGTGGGGCTGTCACCAGCACCACACTGACCCCCTGGCTTCAGCCACTTGTGAAATGATAAAGCAGGAAATTTTTTTTTTTAAAAAAAGGAAAGGTTTTTTCCCAAAGCCTATGAGGTGCAAGTGGGTTTCAAAGAGAAAATGGACTCAACAGGTGGAAATTTGCCAGCACCCAAATTATGTAGAGACAGAGCTGAGGATGAAGTCCTTCTCCAGATCCAAGGCATCCTTAGCTCCTGCAGTCCTTTCTACATTTCTCCTCTGCTTTGCATGGCAGCATTTCCTGCATGTCTTTGCAGTGAGTCCTGTTTATTACCACTCATTGCACACGTATGGGATCCTTGTGCAGCAAGGTCTTTTCATCCTCAGGTTGCACGTTATTATTCAGCCAGGTGACAATTAGTAGCAACTGCTTTCATTTTTCAGCCCTTACTGGAAACACACCCTCCCTCACTCCCTCTCCATGTGAGGTAATAGGTCTCACTCACAGTCTGTTTATTATGAGCTTTCAAAGCACTTTCCCAAGGTGAGCAGTCATAGCAGCATTTGGATTCTGGTGGGAAAACAAGTCACAAGAAATAGACCAACACCCAGCCTGTCCTGCTGGGAAGGGACATTACTGGAGTAGGCACTAGAGCCCTCTGAGCATAGGGTGGGTGTTCACAGACCCTTTCCTGTGCTGCCTCTTTGTCCCAGAGCTTGAAGGTCTCAGCACTTCCAAAGATCAGGAGTTGGGTCCTGCTTGGGGCACCAGCACCCAAGAACTGGCAGCTGAAGGGCCTTTGTGAGCCTGGTCCCTGTGAGCTGGTGGCAGGGTCAGGAGTGAGGCTGGCTCTCCTTCCCTGTTGGTTTGGTTTTGGCTGTAACATGCAGTGTAACCCTCCAGCCAAGGCTCCTTCCCAAACCCAACTGAGAGTGGTAAGAACAGAGATGAGCTCCTTTCATGACAGATTCACTGCTGGCTTTCGAGCTCCGTCTGCTGGGGCTGGAAGAGGCAGGAGGTGGTATTTAGAGAGCCAGAAATTCAGGAACCAGCAACTCTCAAGCCTACAGCTGCGTGTAATGTGCTGACATCTGGCTGAAACTCTTGGCAGTTCACTTGGGAGATGAGGAAATGCTTCAGCAGCTCTGCTAGGAGAGACAGAGCCAGGCAGGTCTGGGCTCCGCGAGCAGATCTCCCCGCACAGCTCACCAGCCACACACACCTCCCAGGCTGGTGACATTTGCTCTTCTTCTTCTTCTCCTCAGTCTGAAGATTAACTAGGCTTTTCAAACAGGCTTTTCACTCTCCGAGACAGTCCTTTCAGATGGCACTTCCATGCACATTTTGAATTGCTGATTTATTCTATTTTTAATCTGATCTCCGGCTTCAGACTCATGCTCTGAGTGCAAACTGTGCTCTCATCCAGAGGGACTCCCTGAGATTATTTTGATAAATGTTTGCATTCAGCTTCCTACCAATCCAAATTCCTCAAGGGAAAACTGTCCCCAGGAAATCTGTTGATATTCTAGTGACTAAGTCTGGAGACTCTGAATATCCAAATCCCAGCACTTTATCCTTCCAAGGTCTCATATAATTTTCAAGTCTCATATCATTTTATAATGGCAATTGTCACCACATCTGCTGGGTTTAGGTTTTGGGTCCTCCATTTCTTCCTTAAAAGAAACTGGCAACATAAGCCAAATCTTATTTTCTTCATCTCATTGTTTGCTTAATTTCCACAGAAATGATTGCATTTTTGCAAAGAATGTAGGAATGAAAGTTACTGTGTGTGCACCAGTAATGGACAATGAAATAACATGACTGATGATCAACTTATTTATCATGTCCCTGTTCTGTTTAATTAACCATTAGGGCATTTGTAGTAAGTTAGTCACCACCACATCTCTGAGGTGAAAGCAAACCAGAGAGAACAGTTGTGTGGGGCTCTCCCAGGACTTGTGGGGACTGCAGAGAAGTAGAACTTCTGATAGCTGAGACTACAGGATGTTTTCTTTTT